AGAGCGACTGGCTTTCTAGAAAAGGTGCTTCTGAAGAAGTTGCTGAGGTTTTATCCTAAGAGAATTCAGTATATGTCCTGGGGAGCCATCCGGCTGGACAAACACCTCAAGAGCATGTGGAAGAAATCATTAGCGGCAGGCTCTTTGACAGGTTGAGAAATGAACATCCAGATTTTAGAGAAAAAATGGTGGCAGTTGACAGCAAACTAACCCAACCTAAACTAGCTTTTAATGCAGAAAACATAGAGGTCCTCCTAGATTCTACCAACATACTATTACACTGTGTAGCAACAGTAAAGTTTAATGAAAATTTAAGAAATGCTGATCAGTTAAATGTGATTGCTACAAGACAGCTTATTCTCCTTGCACAACAAACGGATGTATTTGCACATGTATCAACAGCGTATGCATGCTGCAATGGAAAGCATATTGATGAAGTAGTCTGGCCACCACCTCTTGATACCAAGAAGCTGATTGATTCTTTAGAGTGGATGGATGATAGCCTAATAAAATGTTATCACCCCTACATTGATAGGGGACAGACCTAATACATTCACATACATGAAAGCTTTGGCCAGAATATGTTGTACAATAAGAAGGAGCAAAGCTTCCCCACGGTGCTGGTGCATGCATTGCTTAAGCTTAAGGCTGGCGCATCCTGTGAGTTTGATATCCCATCCTGGTCTGTTTTGCTGAGCTCCTGAAATACTGTTGCTGACCCACCCTGCTGTCTGTTGCCTGTGGGCAGACTCTGCCTGTTTTGACAGACTCCACTGTCTTGTTTCCTTGACATTGGACCGAAGCTCCCTCTATGAGTTGAAGGACTTTCAGTATATTAACTGTTCCACAACAGTGAGTTGAACTGAGCCCTGTGTACTGCTGTGTGGACTAAACAAATCCAGAGACATTCATATGTGTATAAGAGAGAGCTTTTTTTAACAAAAGCAACTGATTATTGAGACATCTCATCCCAGTCAAGATCAAGTCCATAAGTCTGATATTAACCCATATGTCTGATACCAATCTATAAATTCCTCTCCAGACTCACACAACACATGCAATGGCACAGAATTCAGGAAGATCACGGGTTGGTGGGTGGAAAGTCTTGTGAATCCAGTGGCAGTAGAAGCCTCTCTGTACTGGTGTGGGGTCTCCAGGGCTCTGGCTGCATCAGCATAGCTCCATCAGGTTAGTTGTCAGTAATGTCTCACAGGGAGAGAGTGTGTCCCGCCTCCAGTGAGTTATTGATCTCTGTAATGCCTCCAAATGAAATCCTCAAGCTGCGACCTGATGGACAGGCCATACTTCACCCCTCCTTCAAGCTGACAGCTTATGTAACTGCCAGAGAGATCTTTGTGGCATCTTTGCTTACCGTAGCTCTGTTCACCTCTCCAGAACCTTCGGGGGTAAACACAGTAGCCTGGGTGGATACCTGCTTCAGGAGGTTGCCAAGGAATTGTGCTTGTTGGTTTTAACCTGTCTGTGAGGGTCCTGAAAGGTCTAATGGCCAGGACTTGCTTTTGTTTCACCTATCTCAGCACTCTCTCCAGGTAGAAATGTGACTCCATAGAGCTGCTGTCTTGAAAATATCGACAGGCAGATTCCAAAGAAAGGTGACCTCACAGAATGCTGTAATTATAGAACAATATCGTCCATGTCACATGCAAGTAAAACTTTGCTGAAGCTCATCCAACAACAGTTGCAGCAGTCCGTTGACAGGAAGCTGCTAGAGGTTCAGGTTGGATTCAGAAGAGGACATGGGACAAGGGACACCATTGCTAATATCACATGGATCTTGGCTCAAAGCAGAGAGTGCCAGAAATATGTTTGCTTATGTTTTATTGAGTGAGCAAAGGCATTTGGCTGTGTGGATCAAACATAGTTTGTTATCAAACTATGGACAGCCTCAAGAAGAATGGGAACTTCACAGCACTTCACAGTGCTTATGCGGGATCTGTACACAAATCAAGAGACATTTGTTAAAACAGAACAAAGGAACTGTATGATTTCAAAATTAAGAAAGGTGTGTGTCATGGTTGTATACTCTCACCATACTTATTTAGTCTGCATATGAGATAGTAGTTTATTGTGCCAGCCTGGCCGATAAAACACACGTGGGATTAATTGAAGGTGGATAGATAAATGGCTCGGTGAGCCTTGCCTTTCTTGTCTCTCGCTCTTTGATCATCGGACCAGTGTGCGGCTGCCTTGCTTGTTCTGTGCCTCAATTTACAGGCTACACTACCTGTGGGACACCTAGCCTGTGAACTGTGTCGCTGTAAGTTGAGGTCCCTTTAAGACCACACGATTGAAATGTACATCTCTGGAGCTGAGGACTGACAGGTGGTGACCTAGCTGACAGTTGGTGACCTGCTTGGCTGTTTTTCTGCCTGTGCTGGGATAGCCTAGCTCTCTCTCTCTACAGAGGACTACCGGATGGCCCTCAAGACTTGAAGGACTGCTAATGTCTCACAACTCTCTCATGGGAGTGAGTTGCACTGAGCCATTTGTACTGCTTTATAATTTAACTGTTCATTTCTTGTATTATATATCTATCTATCTGTTTACAATTTAACAGTTCATTACTTGTGTTATATATCTATCTGTTTACAATTTAACAGTTCATTTCTTATGTTATATATATCTATCTTTATAAATATATATATATAAATTATCAGCAATCTGGTTTTATCTCTCTAGAGAACCCTGTCTAACACAGCATGCTGAACAAATAATCAAAGAAGCTGGATTATATGAAGAAGGAGACACCAAGATTGGACGAAGGTTTAGGAACAACCTGCACTATGCAGATGACACGACCTTGCTTGATGAATGTGAGGAAGACTTGAAGCACTTGCTGATGAGGATCAAGGATTGCAGCCTTCAGTATGGATTACAACTCAGCGTCAAGAAAACAAAAATCCTCACAACTGGACCGACAGGTAAAACAAACAATTGAAGGGGTCAAGGATTTTGTTTTGCTTGGATCTACAATCAATGCTCAGGGAGGTAGCAGTCAAAAGACCAAACAACACAGTATATCTCCGCACAAGACCTCCTTAAAGTGTTGGAAAACAAAGGGTGTTACTTTAAGGACTAAGGTGCCTGACCCATGGCACAGCATTTTCAATCACCTCAGGTACACGTGAAAGCTGGACTTTGAATAAGGAAGGCCAAAGAAGAATCGGGGCATTTGAATTTTTGTGCTGGCATGGAATATCAAAAGTACCATGGACTGCCAAAGGAACCAACAAATCTGTCTTAGAAGCACAGCCAGAATGCTCTTTAGAAGTAAGGATGTCGAGAATTGAGATTGGCTTCAACAATGGGCTCACACAAGAAAGACTCTGAGGATGGTCGTGTTTCGTTCATATAGCCTATATTATGCATAGGGGTGCTAATGGACTGAACCAACTTGATGCCACCCTACAACATGGACCCTAATAAGAGGAAGTTGAGGCTTTCTATTCCAGGAAGATTTATCGTCCCAGAAACCCAATGGGGCAGACCGCCTCTGTCCCCCGGGGTCGCTGAGTCAGAATCGACTTGATGGCAGTGATTTGGGGTGGACATGATCTACTGTCAACTTGAGGAAGAGGTGGAGCCCCGCCTGTCATTAGGTCACAGCTTGCTGACCTCATTTGGAGGTGCAGTGGAGATAAACAGCTCACTGCAGGCCAGATACACTCACTCCCTGTGAGACATTTCTGTTGACAAGCCACATGGAGACACCCTGAGGGAGCCAGAGCCCCTGGCTCTGGAGGAGCCATGTGGAGGCCCCACGCCATCACTGGATCCATAAGATTTTCTACTCACTGGCCTGTGATCTTCCTGCTTTCGGTGTCATTGCATGTGTTGTGTGAGTCTGAAGAGGAATTTGTAG